TAAGCACTCTCATATTTATAAGAGTGATATATTGTCATATGCAAAGATCAATAAGAGGCTAAATAAAGAAAACAGAATCATTTAAAATCCAAATGTCAAATGTTTAGATTACTAAGCAAAATTAAATTGCAATTTAGATAGATCAGACGCTTTCACCAGAATATCGCGTAAGAAAGAAATTCGTACACGCTCCACTTTCATATTGTTAGTCAAGGACGTTTATACTCTCGCTAACGCGTGACCTCTCTTAATTTAAGAAAGCAAACCAATGTCAGGCGGACATCGTCAATGCCAGACGATTAGATGGTAGTATTGCAACACTAGCTTCAATCAGTATGCAAACGCGTTTCTCTCTCTCTCTCTCTCTCTCTCTCTCTCTCTCTCTCTCTCTCTCTCTCTCTCTTTCTCTCTCTTTTTGGATTCATACTTTCTCTCATTTGTATACATGATACATATACAAATAGATCTACGTAACAAAGTAAGCAAATAAGTTTACATAATTTAAAAAAAAATGCATACGCAGAAAACTACTTATATTTAAAATTATGAACAAAATATTTTACGCGTACTCTGTACTTGATTATTAATTGTTATTAATTATTATAAATTCGAAACAAAAGTAACGCGATGGAGAGTCCTAAAGTTTCTTAAAACTCGTTTTGAGAAAATAACGTTGCATAAAACGTGCAAAACAATATTATTTTTTTGGTAAGATTACTTTCTTTTTTAGCCTTCAATGTTGTCGAGAGTCGACGCATTTCCTGGTTGGATTTTTTCTTTCAAATGTATGAAATTCATTTTAATCACGACGGTAAATTGCTGTCGAACAATTTTAACGAGTATATATAAAACTGTCAGATTTAAATATAATTAAAATAAATGTCATATAGCAATCTGAAAATTTTTTAGTCATATTAGAGGATAATTAATATTTACAGTTAAAAAGCCAATTATTGTCGTAAAAAATTTTATATAAATATAATAAATATAATAAATAAAATAGTTACAACATATCTCGTAGAACCGTAAAGCCAATTTTACAATTGCTAAGTAATTTGATTACTTCATGCATCATATTTATAATTTTAATTTAGAACTTTCAAAATAAAAAGTGATATTACTTTCTTACAGAGAGAGTCGCAATTCTAAGCAATCTGTCAATAGATAATTACATTAGAAAATACAAATTTGTTTACTGTAAAGTTAGCGTTCGTGAACGTTGCGATAAAATTTCGAGAAGAAAAGTAAAAAAATTATATCTAAATCAAACACTTTTGAGCCATTTACTGGATCGTTTTACATGTAATTTTTTTTAAGTAACAAATATCGCACCAAATTCGTGATTTTTTAAAAATATTTAATAATTTTTAATTGTTTCTTTTCCAGGAAGCAACAACATACAATACACTTTCTCTATATTGATGAGTAATTAAAAATATTATATAAATCTTATATTCTCAAGGCATTTATAATATAATATAAAACATGTAACATTAAATTTTTTACGAAAAAAAAATAATAATTTTATGCCAAATTGAAAATAAATGTTGTTTGCGGTTTTTAGAATTACGACAATGCTTTAATTGCGTAATAGCGTTACACGTGTACGAATGGAATTAAAATAGTGCTACTAAGATTCCAAGGTTCAATAAAATCGAGCGTTGCATTGATTATTTATGTTTCGCAGCAACTGGAATCACGTGCCAATCATGAACTTGACTTTAAAATTTTGCGATAAAATTGTAACTGAATCACAATTTAAAAGTCAATGTTCTAATTATTAGCCTTCATGTCACTCATAAATCACCAAATATTCACAATAGTAAGTATCAATGATCAATAAACAAAGTCTTTCTCAAGAAGATGTAAAATCTTTGAAATCTGTTGATTTTTATTATTTCTTTAAAATATTTTTTCTGTATAAAAATTCAAAGAAATCATAAGTATTTATAATTTTTTTCTCAATTTTTATGAAATAAATTTTTTTTTATTAAATTAAAAAATGTATTTAAAGTTAAAATGTATTTAAAATTAAAATAATTTAAAGTGTTAAGTAATAAATATAAGGAATAGTTTTTATACTTACATATTTATAATTTTCAATAAACTTATTGCATTTTTTGTCCAGTTTTATTAATTATTTCTAAAATTATTAATTTTTTCCATTTTTATATTCTTACATTAAACGTTATAAAACACATTTTTATTGTACAATTTTTTTTTAATTTATTGCTCTTTATTTATAATTTATATTTCATTTTATATTTTATTATGGACATATAATTATAATTTAAGATATATATATCTAATATTATATAGCTAATATGTATATAGATATTTAATATTATTACTAATACGTTTGCGATATAGATAGATATTATCTCATCATTTTTATAATCTTTTTGTAATGTATAAATCTATCTAACCAATTTAAAATGCAAACACGGAAATCCTATTAAATCACTTCATATAAATTCCTCGCCTACTTACACATACATTGTATACCACAAGCACCACAAATATGACTTCATAGTCAATGATGATAATTACATAATTCTTATGTTACTTACCGCAATTATCTTTTCCTGTAAATTATTCGCGTTGATTTAGTCTTACAATCAGCATATAATTAACAGATACACGATTCTTCTGCGCAGAAAGTACAGTAAAAGTGAATTAAGAATTAACTTAACGGAAAATATATTACAGCAGTGATTTAAATAGCAGCAAAATAACGAAAACGTGAATAAAAATGTTATTTATATGCATTGTTAAATATTTAAGAAAATATCAAAGTTGACAAATTATAAGATGTCGAATTCTGTAGAATTTTTATAAATATTTTGTAGAATATTTATGAAAATTCTACAGAATTTAATGCTGAAAAATATCCATTAGTACACTTACAAAATTATTCTATTAATATTACACAATATAAAAAAAAAATATTCGAGTAATTTTAAAAGACCTATCAAGTGATTAAAGAAATTATCCAAAAAAATTATTTGAATTTTAAAAAGGATGATATAACAATAGAATTATCATAAAAATGAAAATAATATAATTGATAAACTATTAAAAAACATATTTAATAAAATATAATTTAAAAAAAATTAAAAACATAATTTTAATTACAGTTAATTAAAGTTAAATTAATAATTTTTCTAATCATTTTTTATTAGTATTTCTTTTTCTGCAAATTCGAAATCATCATTCAATCTCTAGTTTTTCGAAATTCTAAAAATAAATTACCTAACTAACTTAAGTAATTTAAGCTAAATTTTATGAAACTTTTTCTGGGAATTAAAATTGGAGCGGAACTAGTCGAAACTTTAAAAAGTTCCCAAAACAAATTTCAAAAAACAATAATGAACATGAAAAATGGTGACGTCGACCGCAATCTTAAGTGAATAATCATAAGTGACGTAATGAATCCGTGGTAAAGCCGAGGTCTATGTAATACAATCTTATAAATCCTTCGTCATATACTGACGTGATTAGATAATTTCTTTTACTTCCCGAATAGAAAGTGCATACTTCGTTAAAGGCAAGTCTTTACGACGCAAGCCTCGCCGTCATACCTCCCTAATGACGACACGCTAATACGCTATCTTTAAATTGTCTACGTTACGATATCGAGAGGATATTACACTACTTTTACAAAAAAGCACTCGCGTGTTTATCAAGCATACGTATAACGTATAAAAGTTATGCATACGTATAAAAGTTATGCAGTCTATATATAAGTTATTTAATCAAATAGAAATCAGCATGTCTTGACATTTAAGCGAAGTTATACTAATATTATATTAGATAATAGCCAGCACTGTTAGTTAATTTATAGACGATTTATGTTAGTAAGGACAAATAGATTATAATAAAATTATTACAAACGATTTTAAGCTAATTTCTTATTGCAATTAATTAGAAGAGTACAATATGTATATATATGTGTGTACGCATATACGCGCATGAGATTGTAATTCCATTTATAAACTAAAAACCGAATTAAGTTGCAATTGACAAAGACTAAACAATAATGAAAAAAATTAAGGAAATTCTATATAAAATTTTTGATTGATTCAATGTTTGATGGAAATGAATTAGAATTTTGTCAAATTGATTGATTGTTTCAATATCACAAGTTATATAAAAAACAAAAAAAATCTATATTTTTTTCAAAACATACATACATACATTTTTTTCAATAAAAATAATTATAGTATTTAATATTTAATCGATCAATAGTACATAAAATTTTCAGCGACTCAATTAGAAAAATATATCGATAAACGGAATCGATTTTAAATGTAAGATTTTTAACATGCATTGTGCCTCAGACTCTCATTCAGAAACCAGATTATCGTTTTCACTCTCACGAGTCATCGACCTACTTTGAATAAAAGTACTTTCGCAGCACTCACCTGACTGACTACTTCCGACTTGATCGTTAGCTCTTCGATGAAAGTGTTCTCCAGCGATCGCTTTCGTCACTTACAAGGTGTTTCAGAACTCGTGACCTTACTTCTCCAATCGAAGACTCTTTCTGCTCAACATACGGTTGATTTCTCCTTCCTGAACACATTTTATATGCATAACTAGATCAAAATTGATGCAACATGAATACCCATACAGCACAAGATATTCTATGAACATCCTAGAATATTTTATGAATATTTGAATATTCTACGAATGTCCTAGAATGTTTATGGAATATCTTATGCTGTATGGGTAGTAATAGGACTAATAGAATAAGAAAACCATTATTATTTATATTTTTCTTCTGCAATATATATAAATATCTATATAATCTATATAATTTATAAACAATAATAAAATGTATACATATATATATATATATATATATATATATATATATGTGTGTGTGTGTGTGTGTGTGTGTGTGTGTATTTTATGTCTTTACAAATCAAATATTTCGAGAATAATACATACAATAAAGAAAAGTATACGAAAATAATAATTGTTCTCTCGTTTTCCAGTGGACGACGCATCGGGCAGATTCACCAATGGATACTTTTGGGGTAATTCATATTTTACTGGATCAGCCACCGAATGCGAGTACATAGGTCAAGATTACAGTCGAAGAAATCCGAAAATCGGTGCAGAGTCATCGATCGAGGAGGTACGAGAATTTAATGCTGAGCCACGAAAACTAATCAACGCAGGCCTCAGCGGAACTAATATGTGGACTCAGACAGACTCCATTCAAGCACCACCACCTTATCGTCTAGGATTCTATATGATGAGACTTTCTGTAAATGCGACTCGATATACAACAGTAAGTAGCATCGATATATAGCGTGCAATTTATTTGTTAAAATATTATTCAATTTTTCTACGTGTTTTCCTAGTTTATGAAAATGTGAAAGAAATTCATATTAACAACATATATTTATTTCTACAAAGTTTTTCATGTGAAGTAATGTATTTTTCAATATTACAAGTTGCAAATAATATTAATAATATTAAAAATCATTAAAAATATATATGAATTTTATAAAGTGTAAAAAAGAAATACTTGTAAGAGTAATATATTTAGTTTAAAAAAATAAGAGATATGAAATTTCTTTTCGTAAACATAACGTTTTCATAGAATTTAACGAAAAAATCCCAATTGCCAGTAATTATGCTTACAATATATTAATTACGACGCTATTTTCTAGTGCAAAAAAGTTAACATTTTAATGTAAATGCATAATTTTATGAAGAAATAAAGTAAAATATCTTTTCCGCTAAATTCCTAAATTAGTGCTCATTTTTTTATTATACTATTTTAGAGTGATGTTTAATATAAAGAAAGTCTATTCTTATTTCTTAGACAAGAGTGATTCATCTGGGTGTTTGTCTGCCATTTTCGTGCTTTGCCTCCGACGTCGCCGTGATCGGAAAACTCGCTGCGGGCGAATTTGCGGCGAAGCATTCGTCGATCGAAAAAGTCAGAGATCAACACAATTTATATGACATGTATACAGATCCGGTCTTCTGGATTTTAACGTAAGTTTGCAGGAAAAGAAGATTAAAATTAAATTATACAAAATTAAACTTAAATTAAAATTATACAAAATTAAACTTAGATTAAATTAGAATTAACTAAGTCATGTTTTATTAATAAGTAAGATAGATATGACGCAATGTGAAATTTAATGATACATATAAGTGTATATATAAATTGTTTTAATTGTATTTTATTTTTTCATTTATTCATTCAAAGTTGAAATATTGAAAATCGAAGTTTTTTTTAATAGATTAAACATGCGCAAACAATGGAAATATTCGATGTGTTTTAGCGCTGTCTGCATGATTGCCTTGATTCTGATGATTCTCGGCACCGGATACGATTATTATCTATCGAATGTAGTAATCCGTAAGAAAAACGTAATCTACGATTTGGAGAAGCACGGGAAACTTGATCATCTCACCAATAGCAACGGAAAAGCGCTAAATGGTAAAGAACTCTATGTTCTAAAGTCATTCAAGTGTTTTGTTGACCATACTTATCGTTATTGCAAAATAACATCAGTGCAATTAAGATAATGACGACTATTTCCTGCTGTTTACAAAAGGATGTCGCAGATTCCTCGCATATTTTTTCAATTCTTGCATAGATTTTTCAATCGAGTCAAAGTCGACATTTTCTTATTGAAAATATAAATGGCGTCTTTTATTTCAATTTCTTAACATTGAACATTTTTTTGTACAATACGAATTTCGGATTATAAATATTAAAATTGAATAAAGAATAGAACTTTTTTATCATAATTTTTATAATTTATTTATTTGCCTTCATAAAACTAAAATTCTCGTTTTAATATATAATTTTTATAAATCGATATATATATATATATATATATATATCGATTTATAAAAATTATATATATATAATATACGTATATATATTATATATATATAATATATATAATATATATATATATATATTAATTATATATATATATATATACATATACTTACATCTTTTTATAAATATCATAAATGAATATTTTTATTAAAGAAAAGAAATTTATTTCAAATAGAAATGAATTGTATAATAGTTATTATATAATAGTAGATAAAAAAAGATGCGAGAGATCTGAATCAGTTTATATGAAGGTAAAAAAAGAGAGATTTACGAAAATAACTAAATGACAAAAAGCAAAGCGCGTTTCAGCATCGGATAATAACTGCTTTGCAAGGAAAAATGCTATAGTTCGCTAAACTAACTCATCTCGCGGTATAAAGGACGATGCTGTAATCACACGAAACGCAATTGCCTTGGTGATGCGTCTTTCGTGAGAAATAATAGTACAGACTAATATAAAGCTCGACCACTCACAGACTATCAAGACTAGACAAGGACGGTACCAAAAGTAGTGACACGATTTATTATTATATTCCATAGCTGTACAAGGTAAGGTCTACCTTCCTGTTCCAGTGGCACATTCTAGCAGCAATGATGTGCAGCCGATTAATAATAACAACGATCGTGAGAGTGGCTTGCAATCCACATCTACCACGGAGGGGCGACAGCTTAGTACGTTAAATTTGTGTCTTATCTGTATCTCTAAAGTTCTTAAAAATATTATCGTAAAAAAATGATGAATACTAGAATAAATCGCAAAAATACAAAAGCCATTTATTATGAATTTATATTTATATATTATGAATTTGAATATCATCTTTCAATATCATTAAAAGTGATTAACTATTTCCTCTTTCATTCTCTTATTTTTTTAAACATATTCCAATTTAACAATATAACTCAATTAATTTCTTTTTACTCTTGCTGCTTCTGTCTTTTATATGACTTAAAAAAATAGTTATACTAATAGCAAAGAAATTCATATAAAAGTAAATTCAATAATTATAAGATCCAACCCTTTGATTTAAAAAATTAATTAAAAGTGCATAATTTTTTTTATAATATAAATAAAAATTCTTCTTATAATTAGCAGAGGGATAAATTTTTTTGACATTTCTATTGCTTTTACAGGTATCCCTGAGGAACTTTTGCTTTCGTTTTCCGTTCGTGCCAATCTGAAGGTCATCTGCGACCACAATGTGGGTGGAGACACCATCAGCACAGTGCACGGGCTCAGAGCGATATCGATGGCCTGGGTTATCCTTGGGCACACGTGCATCGTTCTTTTCAAGTATTCGGACAACATGGAGTATCGTAAAGTGGTGGAGAAGAAGCTTCTTTTTCAAACTATAACGAATGGAGCCTTCAGCGTCGACACTTTCTTCTTCATGGGCGGTCTGCTAGTGAGCTTCCTATACTTCAGAACCAATGCCAAGGGTGACTTGAAGAGGCTCACGCAGGGCACGCGAGGCTTCGTCGCGGGCACCCTGAAGTTCATCGGGCTTCTTGTGTACAGATTCAGCAGACTTACCGCGCCGTACATGTTCGTCTTGGGTATAGTTGAGATCTCAATGAAATATTTCCACACAAATTCCGTCTTCGAGCCTCCGACGGCGGATCATTACAATTGTCCTAATTATTGGTGGAGAAATTTACTCTATATTAACACTTGGTTTCCTGTCGAGCAAATGGTACGTCTTGTGTTATCTATACTACAAAGGAGTGCAAAAATTACAATTTATAGAAATTTGTTTTTGTGATAAAATATCTAATTTTCCAAATCTTTGAGATTATTAATTCTATTTTTTCACCCTAAATAGAATAACATTTTATATTCTCGATACATTCATAGTAAAAGTTAAATGATTTTCTTTTCTTCTCTTTAATTTTATCTGGATTTTTAATTTTTAATCTATTATTTTTATAAAAAAATTGATTCAATATTTTTAATCACTGTATATTGATCTTTTTTTAATTTTTACTTAATTTATGAATTTTATTCTTTTTTTACTATCTCCAGATGAAATTATATGATTTCATGTTGTGGCATTACAGTGTATGCTTTGGAGCTGGTACCTAGCAGATGATACACAATTCTACATTGTTGGTGGTGTCATACTAGTATTAGCTACGACTCATTTCAAAAGCGCAGCTTTTGCATTAATCAGTTTACTGGTGAGCTCGTGGGCAACTACTGGTTATATCGCTTTAGTCAATAATCACATGCCGAGCTCAGATGATCCGTTGGCCCTCTTCGACAAGATCTATGACAAGCCATGGACGAGATTAGGTCCTTATCTGATCGGAATGACCGTCGGCTACTTCCTCTTTAAGACTGATTGTAAAGTGAAAATGTCCAAGGTATGATCAGCTGTACAGTTAAAATTCAAGAAATACACTTTAAAAAATGTCTCTCTAAAAGATCGGAAACCTTCTTAGATGTCTTTACAATATTTGTTATTAATTTTTCTTCTCGATACACACCAAATTTAAAAATAATTTTTAACGCTGTTATTTCTAGACTACTGTCGTCGTGGGATGGCTCCTGTCTTCCGCATGTCTCTTGAGTTTGCTTTACGGTCTGTATGAAGCGGAACTTGCACCCGCTACAGCCGCTGCGTATTCTTCGTTAAGTCACAGCGCGTGGGCATTAGGTTTAGCATGGATTGTAATAGCATGTAGCACTGGCTACGGAGGTGAGAGTATAAACTAATAAAAAAATCATTAGATTAATTATAACAAAATTGTTGGAGTCATTGTTGCATTAATCCTTAAATAAAAATTAAATTTCCAGGATATGTAAATAAAATATTATCGTGGCCACTTTTGTATCCATTCAGCAGAGTGACTTATTGTGCTTATTTAGTTCATCCGCTTGTGATCCGTTTGACCGCTATGAATCTAGATTCACCGTTTCATTTAGGAAAAGATATAGTGGTAAGTTTATATCGAGAAAAAGAAGAGTATAAATAAAATGTTATATGAAACATTGTCATATCTTTCAGGCTATAACATTCATGGGACAACTAGTGCTGTCTTATGTGTTTTCCTTCATAGTGTCGGTCACTTTCGAAGCGCCGGTAGTCAGTATGCTGAAGATTCTTTCACCGAAAAAGCGAAGGCGTATATAATATTGAGAGATTAAAATATATTTAACTCATACATCATTCGAACAGTTATTTATACAATTTTATTTACACATATTACGTATGAATTTTATAAAAATCTGCGAAATAATAGCAAAATGTTGTAAACGTATTACATATACACACTGTATTAACACTTGTTTCATCTGTCATAAATATGTAACAGCAATGGATTTTTTTGTGTATCTAAATGTAAAATAAATTATTTCTCTTTTTATTATATGTAAAGTCTGATATAGATTCTGACACAATATTCTTACTGTATGAAAAAAAAAATAAATAAATGCGCGCATATGCGCTAATGAATTCAGTTTTGTAATAAATGCTTGACTTTTTTATAGTAGTAAATGTTTTCGAATAATATAAACAAAAAGTAAATATTATATCGTCTTATAGAAGTTATTTATGTTGTATATTATGTTACATGTAACATATACCTTCAATATTAACGATTATCAAGTAATAATGCAAAGATTTGTTCCTCCTTCTTTTTACAAAGCACCTTCTATCGCAACTTCTGTATTAATATCGACAAAGTACGGACCTTCGTTAACGAATTGCTTGAATTTTTGCATAGTATCTGCATCGAATATGTCTCGTTCTGCTTGAGACAGACATTTCACGACTTCGTATTTGGCGTCCTTACACTCTTTAAACGATTCGATGTTTCTATCCAATAGGAACTCTACCAGACCCGGATGAATAGATATATACTCTTGTCCCCATACTTGAGAACTAATCACTCCCAAAACCTCCAAACCGGCCTGCCTAATATCGGCGAACGGTTGTCTGCATATTGATACAATCATATCTAACGGATCGTCGCACAATGAATCGAACCACTGTTTCGTTAGAGATAAGATTCTGTTGTCTTGTTCCTCTTTCTTGACCTCGAGTATAAGGGCAAGATTGTTTAGGCCGCGAATCCTCAATGTGGTCGGCATTCTCTGCACTATATCGGCAATCTTCTTAAGAGCACCAGGCATCGCATCTCCTAGAGCTTGCAACGCGTATTTGCCCTCGACACTTGCAGATACGAATCCCAGGGTATCCAATGCAGAACCCAGAATATTCTGATCCCCACTATCTATTACCTCGAATAGTGCGGAGATTATCACAGGATACTTGGAAAACAATTCATTGGGCCAATGACGCGCGACATTACCAAAGAACTTCATCAGACCAGGAATCAGAAGATTTGACAAAGGATTTTCATTAGCTTGTGCTATCTTTTGAACCAGTTTATTCAATACCTCTTGTTGTTCTAAATAACTGAGACCCTCTTCGAATATCGCTAATTCAGTCAATATTTCCAAGGCGTTTAACTGAAGCAGTATATCTTCATTCTCCAGTACATTGATTAAACTGTTCAGAAAGCCTGATTGAGCCGATACTTCCAAAGCCTCTCTAGATGTCTTGGCTATGTCCACTATAACTTCATAAATACGAAAGCTGATAGTATCATTCTGTAATAATCTGGCAAATGTTCTCAAAAGTTCACCCTTATACAGAATGTGTAAGCCATTTGGATTCTTTCCAACTTTTTTCACAATATTTATCGCACATTCAGCGACTGTTAAATCATTATCACCAATTCTGTTTATAATCGAAATCAAAAGAGTGGTATCTGCAAGCAATTGGAATATCTTTTGCGGATGCGAAGCTGTCCGCAAAAATTCAGACAGCACAAGCAACCTTACACTAGCATTTGGATTAGTTATCAAGGCAGATACTTCAACTACATATCTTTGATATATTTCTCCAGGTTCTAATACACTGAACAGAATGGTTAGAATGTCGCATATCTGCTCTATAACTTCTCTGTAATGAAAAGAAGTTATTGAAATATCTTGTTTTTAATAATAAATTTTTGAAAATATTAGATCACATATAGTAATTACAGACGCAAGAAAAAACATTCTATATTACATCTTATAAAAAAATAACAATAAATGATCTATACCTAATTGTAGTAACTTCCGACTATTGTTGTTTATATATAAATATTTAATTTTAAAATACTCTAAATGGCGGTTTTCAAATATCTCACATTGGATTACTTGCAAATATAAATCTAATATAAACTATTATTCAGAAAATATACTGTTTTATTTTTTAGAATGTTTATAATAAGACCATCTTATAATAATCATGTTGCTTCTCGTTAAACTTAAAAAAGCTCGACTGATTCACAGAAAATTCATTTGTCATCGTACCCGTTACTGGAGGTTAATTGTGAAAAGAGTGATTCGTAATCCAAATTCCGGGCGACCTGTTCGGCATCTCGATTGTTTAAGCTACCGAATTTGATCTTGATATCCGTCAAAATGTCCTTCTTTTCTTCGACATTGTTCAATTCACATAGACGTAAAATCTTCGCTTGATACCATTCCGTCATGGTCAGTTCATTGACAATTTCTTGCTTTTGCTCGACAACTTTAACTGGCACTAACGCTCGCGTGAATAAGCGTTAATCAACATAAATGCAACTCTCTCTTTCAGGTTAGGGACGTCTTTGGGAAAATAAATTACGTTTTGTTATGGCTGTGTTCCAAAATTCACTGCCAGTACTGAAAATCTATAGTGTACGTCATGTAAACTAAAGTCACTAGATTAACAAAGTACCGCAATTTTGATCTCAATAAGATAAGATGGAGCAAAAATGGTTAAATAGGTTAGGTTAGGTTAGATCGAAAAAATTTATCGTTTGACAGTTGGCAGCCCTACGAGATGCTGTGCAGAACTGCGCGTATACAAAATAAATTTGAAATCGCTTCTAGTCTAATCATCTTCACGCGATCGACTTTATTTGAATTGCACGGCATCACATCGAATTATGATGCGGCACCGATTTGTTCGAACGTAATTCGAGACATCGCGATGCTGTATAAGCGTCGAATGAGCACGAATTGTCACGCAAATATGATAAATCAAATCTACTCACCGTTCACCGGCTGTTCCACAGGCCGCTCCACTCGCTCGCCTCGGGACGTCCCATTCCAATCTTGATGCACACGATATCATCAACACGAACGCGCGACACTTTATTCGGCACTCCCGATATTCGCTCGCATCCGATAATCATCATCAAGGGCGCAAATAACGCGACGCGACTTCGCTCCATCTTCGCGATCGAGCTATCACTGAACTGTTAAAAACAGATGTCACGCACTTTCACTGACATATTATGAAAGTCGCGCGATCATCCTTGAACACTTTCGACACTCTTTCACTCGCGATATTCGTTTAAAAACGGTTAAAAGACGCGAAAAATGCGGACGTTCGACGATCCGTGTAACTGCGTATGACTCCGATTCACGTATGACGCGTATGACGTAGCAGTCACGCGCCAACATGGCGGCCGAACCAGTGCGCATTCGTTTCTGCGCATGGCCATTCCTGCGCGCAACGTTCGCACAACTTTGATTTCTGAATATTGTCCACGGCTTTAATTAATAGCACATAATGATAAATATATAAAGATGGAATCAATTAATCATATTGGTCATATATGTAGACCTGCCCGAAGAAAGAGAGAAAAAATTGAGAGATATTTTTAATTTTTTTTTTTTTTAGTAAAGGATGGAAATGTCTATTCATAGGCTTGTTCTTCTTTTCCTCTTTTGTGCAATTTTGATTCAATATATAACGTAGAAAATTCATAGTATATTGCATTTATTTTTATATATTCACAACTATAATATTCGCGCGATCATTTTTTGACATTTACAATACTCGTGTACCTTGTTCTCGATGTTCACTTTTAAAAGAATAAAGAGAATTATATATAAATGTAAATAAATTGTCCAAAGAGAGAAAGAATTGAGGGATATTTTTAGTTTTTTTAGTAAAGGTTGGAAATGTCTATTCATGATAGAAATGCAAAGAAAGAAAATTATTATATTTAAAATAATAATTTCATATGAAATACAAAATTAAAAGTTACATTATAGAACCTGACCTTGTAAAAACGTAATAAAACAATCAAATAGTAGACAGAGAAAAGACTAATTGTAAAAGAAAAAAAAGTTGTTAACTTAACTAAACCATTTAACTAAATTATTATCTTTTTAATTGGAATATTTAACTATTATAAATCTAACATGACATTTATTTAACTTAAATATTTGAATATTTTAATTAAAAAAATAATAATTTAGTTAAACGGTTTAGTTGAGTTAACAACTTTTTTTTCTCAATGTACGTATGTCTATGAGACTTTAAAAATATACTTGGATATAAATACACTTATATTATTAAACGATTAATACATCTCGTGAGGTTTAATAAATAATTAATCTGTGTACACTGAGAAAAAAAATTGTTAACTTAACTAAACCATTTAACTAAATTATTATCTTTTTAATTGAAATATTTAACTATTATAAATCTAACATGACATTTATTTAACTTAAATATTTCGATATTTCAATTAAAAAAATAATAATTTAGTTAAACGGTTTAGTCGAGTTAACAACTTTTTTTTCTCAATGTACGTGTGTGTGTGAGACTTTAAAAATATACTTGGATATAAATACACTTATATTATTAAACGATTAATACATCTCGTGAGGTTTAATAAATAATTAATCTGTGTACACTGAGAAAAAAAATTGTTAACTTAACTAAACCATTTAACTAAATTATTATCTTTTTAATTGAAATATTTAACTATTATAAATCTAACATGACATTTATTTAACTTAAATATTTCGATATTTCAATTAAAAAAATAATAATTTAGTTAAACAGTTTAGTCGAGTTAACAACTTTTTTTTCTCAGTGTACGTGAGTGTGTGTGTGTGTGCGCGCGCGCGTGTGTGTGTGTGTGTGTGTGTGTATGACTTTAAAAATATACTTGTATATAAATACAATTCTCACATACGTCACAGTACGCGTTAAATATTTCGGCAGCGAGCTAACACGTCATTCGACCTTGTGACGTCATTTGGCCTTGTGACGTAGCGCGCTATTGTTTACATACGCGACGACCTCCCCTCATTCGCACGGCGACATTCCAACGGAGAAAGTAGCGATACGCACCGCTCCGTATTATCGAATTCTTTTCCTAAAGGTACGATCGCGATTAGATCGAAATATAATAATTCGACTATTACAAATGACAAATAATTAACTCTTATAATAAATGCAATTGTGACGACGATAAATTCATCGAAACGCGATCTTTCATTATTGCAAATAAAAATTGAAGCGAAAGGGGCAAAAATTACAAATTTTCTCACAATATTCTCCGATTATCGAACTTTATGAATAATAATTATTTCTTTAACATTGCATAGAATGAAATTCGATTTCGCCCGATGTTTTAAACTTTCCTAAACTGCATGCATATATATCATATTAATTAAACGATTGCTGTATCATCAATTTACATTACTTTAATATTTTAATCTTATGATTCGCGTTATTATGCATATATTATACATCAACAAATAGAAATAGTTAATTAGTGTAAGAATCGAGTGGTGCATGATTTTGGCTTCGTTTAAAAATCGAGCGAATTATTGTAATTTTTGTGTTCCTCTCTTGCAATAATAATAATATGTATAATAATAATATAATAAAAATACGTATCTCGTATGATTATTTTGCGATCGGGAGTGCCGTGCAAAGTGTCTCGCGATCGTTTCTGTATATGACTGAAATATAATTAACTGAAATATAATTGTTTGTTCGCGAGTGAATACGTGACTGCTACGAGGAAACAACAAAAGAGAAGGACATCTGGAAAAGTATCGGACAGTCAGAAAGCAGGGAGAGAGCCTGAAGCAGCCAGAGACATGCGGTGAGTAATTTATAAAAATTATTTATTATTTATTATTTATATATACTATTTTTAAAATAAATATATTGCTTATTATTTTATTATCGTTTTATTTTTCGATCATTTAAATATATAATTCGAATTGAAATGCAGTAAAACAATCGAATCGTAGATCTAAATAATTAATTTAACAAAAAGATCCATAAAAGATATATTAGTTCTTTTAATAAATAATATCGTATACTTAATCTATATAAAAATGAAATATTATCTATTTATTTCTAAATATTAAATACTATAAATTTAATAGTTATATATTTTGTAAAATTTGATTAAAAGAATCTTTAAGATATTCCAAAAGAAACGAAGAACTTTTCTCAACGAAGAAAAAGTTAATTATAAACAAATTTATATTTAATTATTATAATTAATTTGTATTTAATTTTATTGGAATTTTATTATTCATTTTATTGCATTGTCAAACTCTACGCGATCTCTGTAATGATAGCTATTCACGAAATAGGTACAGTGAAATGATCAATTATTATCGAAAAGAGGCAGTAATATATTTTTAAATCTAATTTAAACTTTTGATAAACGATATAAAATTTTTTTATTATGATGAGAAATCTTTATTAAAGATCATAATTGCAAATAAAAATGGAAATAACTTCACGAAGTATATTAATCGTTTAATAAATAATTAATCCGTGTGTACGTGTACATGTGTGTGTGAGTGTGTGTGTGTGATGTTAAAGATGTGTGTTTAATAAATTATTAATCCGTGTGTACGTGTACGTGTACGTGTACGTGTACGTGTGTGTGTGTGTGTGTGTGTGTGTGTGTGTGTGTGTGTGTGTGTGTGTGTGTGTATGTGTGTGTGTGACTTTAAAGATATACTTGTATATAAATACACTTGTATATATAACTTTAAAAATATATATTTCCGTTATGTTAATTATCCGATTTTTATTCGATCGTTTTATTGCGCGTTCTGAATCAAATTATATTTAGATCAAATGATATCAGAGAGAATATTTATTTATTATATTAGAATTCTAAATGTATGTGTGTGTGTACACATATATATTAGGATAGAAACGAAATAGAAATAGAAGAATAATCATTGCTCGTAAAGATTGCAACAAAGTAATAATTTATAATTTTGATTCCTATCGTATAATCGAGTATCGTATTTCGAGAGCAATCAACTATTTATCAATAATAAAATTGTATATAACTTACGAATATATTTCACTTATTCCGGACGTTAATATCGCGACAACGACGAATAAACTTTTCAAAAAAGTTCAATTCAACTATTTCATATATGAGACAGTTCTACCAATCACTGATACAAAAAACTCGTCAATTGACCAGTTGGTGAAACTGTTTCAGTCCTGAGTATTTTCTTAAAAGAGCTGTTGGCGCACATACATGCGTGTATTATGTTTACGCGCGTCACGCGTTCGAACGAACCTTGACATTCTCACGGGTAAGTCATATGCTCCTTTCTGGTATTCTTTATTCAATGGGTTTTGTAGTTTACGTCCATGTTTTCAATGTCCATAGAGGGAGTATTGCTTTCAGAGATCACCTAAAAGCAGGTCATGACATCTCTCAGTCTTCTCTCGGTATATATAATTAAATATAATATAATTGAACAAATTATTAAATTGTTGAAAAAATATTATTAAATAAATTATTAAATTATTATTATTACATTAATATTATAAATACATTAAAATTTAGAGGTTAATTATTTATCTTAAAAATATTGTAATTCAATTATTTCAATGAAAATCGTATTTTCATACACTGTGCAGAAAATATTAATTGCCTTATAATTATTATTTACATAGGTAGAAATTTATATTCTAAGCTTTCATCTCTTTCAGAGATTATCTGCTCATTCTTCTCTCTGATATGAACCATGATATAACTAAGTAAAAGGTAAATGTTTATCAATCAGGAAAAGTGACTACTGCATTCGTGTTACAAGGTTATATCGATATAATTTTAACAAGCAATATTACATGATATAAAATGCAAAGATTATTAATACAAAAAACATCAGTTTGAAGATTATGATAATTAAAACCGATAAGAACGTTCGAAAGCGAGAGATCCTTTCGGATCAGCTGATCGTGGAGCCGATCGTAGTGTAGTGCTCGTTTGATTTTCTCTAACGGCGACACAGTCTCAAAATGTACAAAATCATATCCAGGATACTTATGCGAGAGAGCACGAACATGTTGGAGCCCTTAAAACGCACCTCGATACAACGTGGACTTGTGAAAGCGATAAAGAGTGCGAAAGAGCCTGACAAAGTGGCTAACCTGAAAAAGTATTGGTTTGACAAGTACATGAATTACATCAAGAACTATGAGCGCACGCTTGAACAAAGATTTCCACGTACGATGCAGGTGTATCGCGTGTTCAGCATCGGCAGTAAAGACGTGTACACGGACTTGAAAAGGTTTGTCTTGGCGATAAAGAAACAAGGATCGAATGGCATGGATAGTTTGACGCGGGAGGAGCTGCAGTTGATGTATACGATGCCGAGAGACCTGCGAAAACTGTCACCGTTGTTCCTGTTGTCGGCTGTTCCATTTACGAATTACATTATTTTTCCTCTAGCCGTTTACTTTCCACGTTACCTGTTGACATCACACTATTGGACGCTTCAGCAGAAATTAGACTTCATGCTGTCTGATCATAAGAACAGGCTCAAGCATAACAGACCACTGTTCAGATGCATGCAGATGGAGCTTAAGACCATCAAAGATCAAACACTCAGGATAAAATGGCGTGATGTTATAGCCTGTCTAGGAAGCGGTACGCATCCAACCACCACGAATATTATAGCATGTTCTGAGCTCTTCTCGGGTCCACCATATTCCCTCAATACTTTAAAGAGGAAACACATGGTAAGTCTATAAATTGGCATCCATTACTTCTAAATTCTTGCTCTTTAAAGCTTTTTATATAAATGTTTATTTTCTCTTCTTTTTTTAGAGAGAATTATTAGCAATACATGGTATGTCTCTGTGGAGACCTTTCAAAAGAAAAAGATTGATGGAAAGGGGTATGTTAATTTTGCGAATGGATCACGCTATTGTAAGAGAAGGAGGAGTAAAAGCAATGCCTAATGAAGCAATGCGATGGGTAGATATTTCTTGTTATCTTGTGCTTCAAGAATACTATAAATATATACATCTAATGAAAAAATATAATTATTTATTTTATTAAAAAACTAAAGAAGCTACATTGTTGTTATTTATACATATTATATATTATTGTTTTTATTTTTTTATGTAAACTTAATTACGTTAAAAATATTGTAACTTAATTATTTCAATGAAAATCTCATATTAGTAGCAGGAAATATTAATTACTTTATAATCAATTTATTTTTCAGGCCCTATCCTTTAGAGGTGTAAACCCTACAAATATGTCTATAGAAAGTATGAGAAGCTGGCTTGAGCAATGGTTAGCAGTATCAACATCTGTTGACAAAAATAATATCTCTTTGTTATTACATAGCCCAATTTTATTAGCTTATAATCATACAACAAATTGGATTCTTATATATAATTAAAGATTCTTCATTTTTGCTAGATTTTGGACAATTTATTTTAATGTTATTTTTTTCGTAAAAATTTACTTTAAAATTTCTAGTCAACTTAACATTCATCTTTTGCTTAAAAATATCTTTTGCATAATTAAATTATTAAAGTGTTAATATATTACTCTTTCGTTTATAAATATACAGATAAACATTGTTCTCTTTGCAGATGCTTTAATATCTATTATATGTGTATATATATATATATATATATATATATATATATATATATATATAAAAATCATATATATATATATATATATATATATATATATATATATGATTTTTCTATATCATATATATCAGAAAAACCTATTGTAATACATTATTTTGTATATATAATGTACAAAAACTTGCTATATTTCTAACAAGTTATCACTTTATACGGAAGGAAATTTCTAATATATGCGAAAAATAAAAATGTGCAAATGTACGCTTTTCTATTTTAGTATTTGAAGGATGTAAACTTTAATTTTTAGTTTGTTAATATTGTTGTACTGAATATGATATTCTATATTGTATTTGTTAGTTAAAGCTAAATAATATGCGCATATATATGTATATAATATATGTATATATATATATATATATATATATATATATATATATATAATACTTCTATTTATTGGACCATATATAATTATATATATATATATATATATATATATATATATATATGTGTATATATATATAATTTATAACTATTTATATTTATTAAACTATTTTTGAAAAATATAAAAATGTTGTCACTTATAAATTACTGTGTTTTACTTATATGTACAGAATTAATTACCTACTTATATTATAATTATAAAACATGTATTCTCTCTCATTTTTATTAGAAAAAAAAGTAAAACTCGATTATTAAAAACTCTAAAAAAAAGAATAATATGATGGCAAATATATTTCTTTATATAAAGAATCCATATATGATATCGTCTATGCGGAATTAAAGCTAGAATGCCTGATATGATAGCGAAAATCAAATTTCTTACAAAAAATTAACGGATAACCGTTTTATTTATTCAACTATCAGAACAAAGAAATTATTAAATTTTTTGAATTTTTCTTAAATAATCTAGTTTAACAATAAGCTAAACCTGGTTATATCTACATTCTTTTGTTACATTCCTTGCATTATTTTCCCACTACTTTATATATATCAAGTAATTTAAATAATTTGTATATATATATAATAAAAAAATCTCTGTTAGAAGAATTTATTTCTATAAGAAATAATTTGTCGATAAAGGAATATTTTATAGATTGACAAAAATTGTGTCTTTATTATATTTGTAATTTATACACATAATATGTAATATATGATTATATATTATACACATGTACGCACATACACGCGCGCATACACACACACATACTATATGTATATATAAAAATTATAATTTATGTTGTATATAATATATATCTGAAATAATTTTATAACATTCGATATATCACAGCTTATCAAATACTTTTACATGGACAGTATTGTTTTATATATATATATATATATATATATATATATATATATATATATGTATATATATATGTACATATATATATATACACAAAAATTATATTATTTATATAGAGCACTACATAGCTAAATAACTTCATCAAATAAAAACGATAAAAAATTATATAATTGTACCACGAAAAATCTTTGAATATAACGATAGTTTTAAAGAAAACTTCTAAATATATATACATTCATTCAAACGTGTTTAATTCTAAATAATTAATATTTGTAATCATAATGTAACAATTGAATTAAGTTAAAAGATTATTTACTGTAAAAATAATGTGTATAAATGTTAATTAAGATATATCAATAGGGATATAACTACCTGCAGAAACCCGCTTTTTTTTATTATTAGAATGGCAAACTGTCTTATCTAAAATACACTCATTTTCCTTTATTAAAGACTTTTTAATTTGAATTCTTTTTGTACGATCGATAATTGGAGTATCTTTCCTTTTCTCAAGATGTTCGATTAAACTATCATTTATTTCATAATACCTTAATCTACTTTCCGTACTCGATATCTCGGAATTATTCTTTGTTGTGAGAGTGGTTTTTTGCACAGTTTCGCGCATTTTGTTTGAATATTTAGCACTTTTTTCGGAATCAGAGAAATGCGATTTATGAGGATAAGGACAACACTCACCTTTACTGCAGTTCCCCGATTTGTTAAATTCAGGACAAAGATACTCGTGACGTCGTTGGCACTGTAGGAGAACAAATCAGTATTCTATGCTTTATAAAATATTACCATGGGCCATTATGTCGTTCACATAAGGCATATCTGTTTTGATTAAAATGTTATCTTTATCTTATAAATCTTAAATTTAATTTCAATAGAATTTTTTTCTCCTCTTATACCAGTGATCTCAGACTCGTATCTTTACACAAGCCGCACAGCAGATACAAGAGTCAACATCACATAGAATAGAATAAAGAATCTTCTATGTATTACTACGGCCATATATTTCCTGTGTATCGATAATCGGAATCGTCGCTTTTACTTACTTGTACATAAAAATCTATGGATCGTATAATGTAACTAATCATCTGCAGCTCGTGAGCCACGTGTCTGAGATCTCTGTCTGCCTAAGGGGAGTATGTTTATAACGAATTGTTATGTTTATTATAAGTAATTAATAAATTAATCAACAAGTAATAGATTGAAAGACCAAAACTAATGTAAGTACCTTGGTTCCTTTAACACAATATCCTTGTAGAAAATCTATGCAGATTGAAGTATTTGAAGATACTTTAACATGAAGATAAGGACAGTCGTCTCTTGTGCAGCAACCATCAAGGAAGTACTTGCATGTAGGCATCTTTTCAGGTCCAACATCATGTGATAGAGAACATTTGTCTAAGAAACACTTCCCTTGCAGGAAACTGGACATTTAAAAAATTGCATGATTTAAGGTTTCTTGTTTTATTATTTTTTTTCTATTAGAAATAAAGAATTTTAATTTTTATTCTATTATAGTATAGTTATAAATAATACATGATAGAGTTGTAATCCATCATGTATTATCTAATATGAGCTACCTATATTAAATGTGTCTTAAAAAGATTAATATATTTAATAATTACATAAATATATAATAATTATATAAGTATATAATAATTATAATAATTATATATAATAATTATATAATATGTATATTAGATATGTTTAGATAATTTATTTACTTTTTGCAGAGTGACACCTGTTTCTTATCATGTCGTTTAAGACATTTTCCATTTTCATGGTTCGGACAAGATCCGAATCGTTGAAAAATTAAACAAGGTTGATTGTTTTTGTGCATTTTATTTCGTAAAATTCGTATGCTTCTTTGTTTTGCTTTGTTGCTACAAAACAATAAACTAATAAATTGTATGAAAAACAATAATTCAGCTCACATTAATTCAATTTTTTAGATTCTTCTTTTTTTTTAAATTAATCGTTTCTTTAAATCTTTTCTTTCTATGTAACTTATTCATTAAATTAATTGCACATATTATAAAGTCAAGTTGGAACCAAACATTATTTATGTTTAATTATCATTCTAATGTAATTAGACATGTGATCATATAACATATAGCTAGAAGAGCACTACTTGGATAATATTACTTTATTTTAAAAAAAAATTATTTAAAAACATACTAACTCATATAACGAATAAGAGCATAATACAAGTTAATTATTATATATAAAGTTAAGTATTCAAATTTGCTACAAAATCATGTTAAATTGAGAAAGTGAAGATAAAGCAAGCAATATTTTTATTTTGTCATTAGAATATAAATGGAAATTGAGAAAAATTGGAAACAGAGGAAATATTTAATCCTATAAGTTTAGAATATATGGAATTGACTGCATAGTGCTAGATAAATATATATACCTGATACTATTTTTGTAAGTGGTTTTTAATGATGTATTCAAGGTAAATCGTGCTTTATTATTGGTATTTGTTTCTAATATACAATTTAAAGTTCCTTTATTGACTCGTTTTTTATCATAAATAGGTTTATCATTTTTTCCATTAAATGATCGTTTTCCTGAAATTTCGTATAAAAATTTTATAAAATGTATAGCTTTATAAATTAAAAATCCAATTCACACAATAAGATGCACATACGTTTTAATGAAGAATTATTCCGTATTAATTTGTTTTTAGAAGCTTTGTAAACAATTCCACCGATAGTAACAAGTTTCTCTGCGCCTTCTCTATAGTACAAAAATTTTTATAAAATTTTTCATTTCATGATTCATTAGATATAATAGTAAATAATACTTACATAACTTTTCTCTTTTCTGAAAGGCTAGTTTTTTTAACTTTTAATAGAGTCCTATCAATCTTATATTTGGTCACTTTAGAATTATTGTTAGATTTATTGATATCTAATTTCGATAAATTAGATTTATTTGCAGATTGTAATGTATTATTTAATAATGTATTATTTGTTAACAATTTAAGTTTTGTTTGCAATATTGTTTTATCAATTTTTTTTCCTATTAATTCTGTAGATTTTGGTAACTTATATTGAGATACTAGAAAAGATTTAGACACGATTTTCGGAGAACGAGCTACTCTCACAAGTTTTCTGCGTGATAAATGCACAATGCTAGAATTATTAACCTTCTTTGAAGGAATCTTTTGATTGTTGACATTTTTTATAGGCTTCAGTCTTGAACAGACAGATTGTTCTGTTGCAACTGATTCTTTAGAAATTAATTCTTTAGATTCTGCCGATTTCTCTTTAGAAGATGATAATTTCTTCAACAATCTTGGATTAACATATATAGCTCTCTTGATTTTTGTTGGTTCATTGTCATCCATGTTTACTTTTATTGTACTCGTATTTGTTGTGTTCACATTATTTTGTAGATTTTGATTTGAATTAGCAATATTGTGCATTATTTTTGGATTAATATGTATTAAAGGTTTAGCATAAATATTTGGATTGATATGTACCGTTGGATTTTGTGGTTTAAAGTTTGGGTTAACATAAACATTTGTGGGAAGTAATTGAGATTTCACATGTGTACTTTTGATCGGTTCCTCAGATAATGTTTCAGGATTCGGAAAAGAATTATGAACCTTGTTTTTCACATCTGGATGAATCTTAGACTTTACAAACTTGGATATTCTGTTTGAACAATTATTTTTTTCATTGCATTGTGAATTTAGAAACACATTTTGTTTATACTCCTCTGTCTGATCTACAATTATACAAAATGAGTAATTAAGGAAAAACTGTTTTATCTTAACAATTTAATAAAAACTTGATAAGACACAGACACGCGTTTAGAGTGTTTTTATTTAGAGCAAAAAAGATACTTTGAACATTTATTTTGCTCGAAAAAGTTGTTAACTTACCTTTTAAATAATGAATTTCGGTTAATCTCTTGGTTTCTGTAATTGCAGATGACGGAACTCCCATTTTAAAAATTTCGATAGACAAATCAATTAGAGAATGTTTCAATTAAGGAAAACTTATTCTCTGGAACGTAATTGCACTTTTGAGTAATTTTAACGAACAATCTCGACTATATCTTTAACGATGAAATACAATGCCATACGTGGCCATATGTAAAGCTACAGATACAGGGTGTGCTAGATGCGTGTAATGATTGCGAAATGATGTGCGAATGCGAATCTTCACGGAATATTGGTCACATTCAGGACTCAACAATTGGGCAATATTACTAGATTTTCCGATGTACCTCGACGCTGATTGGTCGAATCTGAAAGTAGAAACCAATCATATTTAGGTTACGTTCCAAAACGCAAGTAACCGAGGAAAATTTTACTTGATGGCTGATTCTAACCAATTGAAAACGTATTAAGAGAATACTCGACTGTGATTGGTCAATTTCTTAAGGCTTAGGGCTTAAATTATCTATTATAGATCGGGCCCTAAGGCCATCACACACAAAATTGCATATGCATAGTATAAGATCATATGGACCAATGAGCATCGAGTATTAAGTCGCCATATTGACTTACATAATATAATATTCGATGCTCATTGGTCCATATAATTTTATGCTATGCATATGCAGCTATGCAATTTTGTGTGTGATGCCTTTATTGTTAGTAATCTGTGTATGACAGAGGGTCTATTCTTTTCAGCTGCACCGCTGCACTAGTGCAGTAAGTAAAGACCCTTGCACAATGCTAGGCAACAGGCAATAGGAATAAGAAATTGAAACTATTCACCAATAAATACGCGGAATAGAAAATATTCGCCAATAGGAGCAAAGAATAGATACTATTTCTGTTCTTATTGCCTGTTGTTTAGCATTGTGTAAAGGTCTTTAGAAAGAGACAAACATACTTTCTTTCACTCTAACTAATTGCACTAGTGCAGCAGTGCAGCTGAAAAGAACAGACCCAGATACACGTGCTTGAAATATCCGCGCGTATGCGGACAACGATATTTTTATCACGCGCATGCGGGGTCACGTGTCATGTATTTGACGGGCGAAGTGGGGGACCTGTATTGAAGATTGTGCCAGACGCCCTACGTGGTTATACGTACAGACAAGGCATATTTTTATCATTAGTAGTTTATATACACATTTAGATCGAGAAAGAATAATTTAATTACATCAATACCGTAGTATTATACAACACGTTCCGAAAAAGGCTCTTGTGAACGAGAGGAGAGGGCGATTGTTTACCGCGAGAGAGTTTCTTCGATTTATTTAACATGACGTCGGTGGACTCGGGAGTGGAAACCGGCAACGACTCGAATGATAGCTCGGGCGTTCAACACGAGAACCAGCAGCAGCACGTCCAGGTTACCAGTAGCAGCATCAAGCCCTTCAATAATGAGGAATTAAGAATACAGATTGATAAGCCAATCCCGCGCTTGTGTCTCGATAGTAAAGGTTACTCCGACTTATTAAGAACAAATACAAATGAGAATAGCGTTTTGTTGCAATGTATCGCCAATTGTTGGCGATCAGACGCCTTAACGGATTTTAATCAACAAAGAACAAGAATGCTGCAGGATAGTGCCAGAAAAAGTCTGATATCGAAAATGAAATCTAAGGTAAACAGTTGTTTGTAAATGTGAAATGTGGAATGACTTTTTGGATTATTGTCAGAAAAATTATTTCTTTACTCAAATTGAATTATTTCTTTACTCAAGTTGAAAATATATAGAGCTGATAAGAGCATTCAACAAAAAACATGATAATATAGATCTTACAATCATGATAATGTGGATATTAAGGTCTTTCAGTTTTCTGCTAAATAATGAACTGCTTTAATAAACAATTGTTGCAAATAAATTGATTCGTATAAGAATATAGCAAGTAATTATGAATATAGAAGTAAGAAAGTATATTAATACTGTTTTAGCAAGAACTAATAACACCAAGAACATTTGGACCATATGGAAGTAAAATTGTTGATTATAGTAAGTGTTTCTACAATTTTAATTAGATTATTTTACAGAGAGAAAAATATTCTTGTAATATTATATTTTTATTTGGAAAATGTTTTTTTTTTACTCATTTTTTATTTTTATACTTGTACATTTTCTCCATATACTATCAACTTTTTGATTTAGTTCCGATAAGATTAGATTAATATATAGTTAGTTACTTTATTCTTCAGCTTTGTATGCCAAGAAAGGACTTGGTAAAACAAAAATTCTACACATTCATCCGTCCATATCTTTTACATCTAAAAAACCCAAGTCGCTAATTTTCCTTATACATTTCTATATTTCTATCTTTATATCTTTTATATTTCTTTTTACATCTATATATGTGCCTATCTATTTACTTCCATATCAGCATACTCACATGTATATCTATTTACATACCTATACAATACACACACACACACACACACACACACACACACACACACACACACATATATATATATATATATATATATATATATATATAATTACTATCCCACATATTCTCAATTTCCTTTAGACTCCATCCATTCCTATTGAAAGATTTTTCTCTTTCTCTACTATACACAATTCTTTATTTATCATATTTACTTTTTCTATCCAACAGTTTTTTCATTAAGTTCCTTTTCCTCTTTTTCTCCAACTTTCCATTCAAAACTTAACCCACCTAATTTTTAATTTTTCCAGACCTATCTCTTTCATTATAATGTACCTCAGAGCGCAAAAATTTACTCTAAAAATCCATCTAACATAATCTAGCATTTTACCTTTGATTAGATTAATATATAATTTCTTGATAAAAGATGTGTGTGTACTAAAACTATTTTAAAAAGCATTAAAATATTAAATTTTGCTATATAATGATAACTTTAATCTAGACTCTTATTGTACCAAGATAAAATCACGAATATCTCGATGCAGAAGATCATTTAATAGTTTGAAAGATTGGCAGATTTATCATATTGGGTTAAGGATGCGATTGGCTGCTACTGTAAATAATACCATGTTGATGAGCTCACTCTTGCAGTCTGGTGTATCACCAAACTGTTCTGATAGTGATGGGCGAACACCACTTCATCATGCAGCTTGCAGGTAATTTATATATTTAAATGATAATGTAAACCTTTTTCTATATATTCTTAAATCTATTCCTTGTCAGCTGTGTCTTTGTCTGTAATTCAAATAGTAATTTCAAGCAGAATTTAAATTTTAACATAGCTACAGGTTTACAAATATCTCTTGTGAAAGACACATTGTTATAGAACGAAATCAAAATGTTAAAAAAGATAAGTTTCATTTTAGAATTGTATTAAGCTGTTTTTAAAGAGGATGCTTTTTATTATTAATCAGACTACAAATAACACTTTTACTAAATAATCTCATTGCCAATATATATTTTGTAATATGAAGTTAAATTATTGTTGTGACACACATTAAAATTCATGTTTTTTGTTATAGGGGTTATACAGAGATGGTCCAATTATTATTGGAAAATGGTGCAGATCCAAATCAACGTGATTGTATAGGCAATACTCCATTGCACTTAGCAGCAGTTACTAGCAAAATATCGGTAGTAACATTACTTTTAACAGCTGGTACTAATGTTCTTGCATTAGATAAATATGGCTATAATCCGTTGCAACTCGCGAAAGCGAAATTAAGGATGTTATATCGGAATTATAAGAATAATGATATGGATAAAGTCAAGCAGGAGATGCATGAGATAATTAACATGTTATTGGCATATTTGCTGAAACAAAAAAATATGCAAGAACAGGTAGAGACATTGAGCAATTTCTGCTCACGACTCTCTTTATCCAACACTTCGGATCAAGTTCAGGATGATGTGAAAGATTTATTAGCCAATATAGATTCTCTTAATATAACTGATTAATTGCTTTCTGCAGAATGTGATAGTATAATATTACACACATTGTTCATAAGTTGAGTAAAAATCTTCTGAAATTTTTGATATTGTTTTTAGAAATTTATATATATGTCTATACTTCATGTACTATATATGCACTCTATATTTCATGTACATTCATAGATTACAGGTTTATTCATAGGTACACAGTGTATTCATATTGACTGTGTTTCGGGGTCGCTATAACAGTGCTACAGCTTTTTTGCTACAATTGTAGCAGAAAAAAATGACCGCTACAATTTTAGCAGAAAGTTCTACATACTTTTGTAGCGCTATTATAGCGTTTTAATAACGTGAAACACGCTTATGTAGCGCTAATGTAGCGCTACTGTAGCGACCCCGAAACACAGTCATTATACGTATATATTTATAAATATATACACATGCACAAATGCATATATATAAAGTTATAAAATATATATTATTTTATATATGTTTTTCAATAAAATGTTAAGCAATTTTTTTTCTTTTTGTTTCTTGAGTTTCTGATTTTTTATAATTAAATTTAATATAAGATTAGAAAGTTATAGGATTGTTATTTATAAGTATTTTCTTTTTTCTGCTTAATATAAAATTATTTTTGTAAGAGATATGAACAGAGATCGTGATATTGATGCTGTACAGAATAAAAAGAAGACTATATCAATATAAGACAGATAGTCGGCCAAATATTATTGTAATAAATTTTCAAGACATGATTACCTGGAATAGACAAGCTAGCATACATCTCTGGATTCAACATGATTAAAGACTGAATTTCTATATATACTGATTATCCTCTCTCTCTACATATATATATATATATATATATATATATATATATATGTATGTATATACTTATTCATTAATTTGAGGAATTGTTCGAAACGTTTCTTATAATAAAATTTAATGTAAAGACTAGAAACTATAAGATTGTTTTACTTAATAAATATCAGCTAATTAATTTATACGCTTATGGCCAATGGACATGCTATATCTAATTAAGAGTGTGAATATAAAATATTTAATATTGAAATAAAATCTTACCAGAGAGAAAATTAAGCAATTTCTTATTAATCAGTATCTTGTATTTTCACAATGTACGAATTTGTAAATAGTTCTCATAATAACATAAATGCTGTATATAATTCATTTGATAATAATTGCAATTTCATTATATGTAAAAAATTAAATAAAACTTTATATTAAAATTTTGTATTCACATATAAAACTACCAAGAATTTTCTCTGATGTTTCAATTTTATTTTATAAATATTTAAGAAAACAATCTAATTAAATTTTTAGTTATTACATCTGAAATATTTTAATATATAATAGCAAGTCTCTCGGAAACATAGGGTGAAATGAAAAGAATAATTATAGTAAAATAAATAAAGTAAATAGTAAAGTAAATAAAGTAAAATAAATAAAATATATAGTAAAATAAATATATATATATATATATATATATATGAAATATTTTCTCTCAATATATAGTTATTTTTAAAATATATATACGGAATCAATATTTTTCCGAAAGAAAAAGATCGCAGATCCACAAGGGTCCTACTCGCCCTTGATCCTTCTTCGCGCAATATAGTGCTGCCACTAGTGAGCAATGCGTAAAATCAATTATAGCGTGCATTCAAACTTGAGATAGGCTTGCGAGGATATAAGGGAATCGCATCGTGGGTGGTCCCGTCGAGCGAGAACGTGTGTGGTCCGGCTGGTTCGTGCGCGCTTTGAGTGTAGACGCTGTCGCGGCGATACTGTAGAAGATGCGAGCCGCTCCAACCGAACAAAGTCAAGACCTTGTCCTGTGGTTAGCCGAAATCGCATATAAGAACAACGGCCTCGACTCGTGAACGCGACAAGCACAAAAGTACGCACATTTCTCCCGTTCTGGAATTCTATTGTTTATTTACGCGTTCACACGTGTGACTTTCTTTTTCTCAAAAATATTAATTATCGATTAAATATCGTCGATCTCGCGTGTATCTTTAAAAAAAAATAAGAATCTCTTTCGTTATTTTTTTTTTTAAATAAATAGACATTTACATATACACCTTTTATTTAGATTTTATCCCTTCGTTTCCTAGATAAAAATATCGTTTTCTATTCTCAGATGATATTTTCGCTGGTCCTCTGCTGTTTGCTGTTTTACGGATCATCGTCGGGATTGGACAATGAGCTTAACAACGATAGCGAAAATAATACATGGAAAAGCATGGACCTGAGTCCTCGGCATAGAATCAAAGAAAATTATCTGCTTGACAGATATCCCATAGGGGAACTGTCACCGGATGACTCGAATTGTCGCAGATCTGCCAAGTGTGTTCCATTGCATAAAGGTACCTGCATGGGTACGAAATTACCTTACTCCTTTACATCATTGGATCTTATACCTGAGCGTGTGACTCAAGATATTATTGAGGTAGATAGGATTATTATTTATATATTCTTTGTATTAGTAATGGTTTTTCTATTCTTTCCTATAATAACACACGCATGGTATGTTTTTTTAAAAAACACGCATGTCAGTTAAAAACTTAGCGTTGTGAAGCACTCTATGGAATAAATCTACTTCTTGCACCTGTAGATCCAGAAGTTTAAATATCAAGATTTATGTTTGACCAGGTATTTCCTTTTTCACTATATGTACAAGCTTATCTTTCTATAATAGAAGACTAGAGGTGTAAGGATATCTGGATATATTTTTACTCCTAGCTTTTTGACATTTGTTAATAACACATTATATGTTATTATTTAATTGTTATTATTTATTGTTATATTAAGTATTGTATTATATATTATTTGTGTAAAACATTTTTATATTTTTTCATATATATCTTCCTACTTTCAGGAAAAGTTGTATTCGTTACAAGCTTTGAAACATGTACCAAAGTGTTGGGCTGTTGTTCAACCATTTTTGTGCTCAATATTCATGCCGAAATGCGTTAATAATACAGTCGAATTACCATCTCAAGAGATGTGCAGAATGGTATCAGGACCCTGCAGGATGTTAATTAATCACACAATATGGCCGAGTTTCGCAAAGTGCGATAATACAAAATTGTTTCCACGATTATGCAAAAATGACTTCAGAGAATTGAAATTTAATATCACAGGGAAATGTTTGAAACCTCTTGTACCTACTGACAATGCCCTCTCAATTTTTGATGGGGTGGAAGGCTGTGGAACAGAATGTTATGACCCATTATATACATCTGATGAGCACAATCAAATACATTCGTTTATTGTATGGGCTGCAGGTATCTGTTGCAGCTTCAATCTGTTCACTGTTGTAAGTGTGCTATAAAAATATATTTACAGCAAAAAAATATATTTATAACTATAATATATGCCGCAACATACATATACACACATATATATGTAATTATATATTTTATTCTTTCGTTATCTTTTAGATAACATTTTTGATAGATTGGAGAAGCGCGAACAAATATCCAGCTTTAGTGATATTTTATATTAATGGTTGTTTTCTCATTTCTTGCATTGGTTGGTTAATCCAATTTACTCCCAGTGGCAGAGAAGTAATTATATGCCGCAAAGATGGAACATTAAGAATGAGAGAACCAAGGTATGTTTTACAAGTACTTTAATAACGCGGATTTTGTGTCTCGAAATGCGCAATATTTTTTGCAAAACACTTGTGTATTTACAGTGGGGAGAACTTGTCTTGCGTCGTTGTCTTTGTTCTTGTGTATTATTTCCTGATGGCAGCTATGGTATGGTTTGTTATATTGACATACGCTTGGCACATGAGCTTCCGAGCACTTGGCACGATACAAGATCGAATAAACAAGAAGAGTGCTTATTTTCACCTAATCGCCTGGTGTGTACCACTCGTTTTGACAGTCGCGATTATGGCATTAGGTCGAATCGACGGTAACAGCATGACGGGAATATGCTTTGTGGGTTATGCCGATCATGCAGCAAAGGCGTTTGTATTAGGTCCGGTGTTAATTGTTGTATTAGTAGGAGGATATTTTCTATGTAGAGGTAGGTTATTTCTTATGTTATGTGCAATATACACAACAGTAAAATAATTATATATATTAAAAGTTTTCTATTTTTCTCTTTATGCTTTCTATATTAAAATAAATTGTGAGTATATTGATTCAGTATTTTTTATAATTTCAAAGAATCATCTTTTGTTTCTTTAATATTATATTTATATTCTATATTTTTTAGGACTCTATACGCTTATACGCTTAAAAATAAGCAGTCAAGAAATCATATCTGAAAGAGCGAGTTCAAAGATAAAACAAACCATTGTTAGGATGGGGCTTTTTTCCATAGCAACTCTTGCAGCGGTTGTTGTAACATTTTATTGTCAAATTTACGAAATTCAACATTCTTGGGAATGGCGACAAAGCTTCAGAAATTATATGATGTAAGGATTCCAATATTTGTAGCTGCATATTTTACTCGTGTATCGTTATCTATTATCGTGTATCGTTATCTATTATATTAATATTTTATTGTGTTTATTTAAAGATGCGCGATAACGACGATGTATGCAGAAGTATCCGATTGTAAAATAGAAATGAGGCCTAGTACAGGTAAACTGCAATTACATTTGCTTGCACTATTTGCCACTGGCATTCTTATGTCCTCATGGGTTTGGACCAGTTCGACGGTCGATACGTGGTGCAGATTTTTGAGAAGGTAAATTTCGACACACGTTAAGTACTTATCGTGTCATCAACTTGCTATTGCTGCCATCAATGCGATTCTGAATAGTATGTGTTTTCTCTTCATTTGCAGAGTCTTTAATCGTGAATCTGAAGAGCCTCCTATAAGACTGAGCAAGCATAAGCTTATCGCGCATTTATTTGCGAATCGTAAAACATTTAACAAGGCCGGCCGTCTGTCCATAAGTTTTCACAATACCCACGAAGATCCGGTTGGATTGAATTTTGATCTCAACTCCGCAGCATCGCAAGATTTTAGCACGACTTGGGCAGCTGCTCTGCCTAAATTAGTGACGCGGAGAGGTGCGCTAGTTGGCGGCACTACAGGATCTGTGTCTAGTAATAGACGAAATTCAGCTGATTCTGAAATCAGTTATAGTTTTCGATGCGTTTCTATGGAATCTAGACGAAATTCGTTGGATTCGCAGATATCCGTACAGATTGCGCAGGTGAAGACCACGCGGAAAGTCGCCAGTCGATCACGCGGCCGTCGTGGGAAGAACAGAAGAGATTTCGGGAAATCCCGATCGAATAAAATCGACCCACTCTCCAGGAGGGGCAGCACCACTTCCCAGGATAGTCAGTTGATGACTCAAATACCTATGGTGTTTCCAATTCAAATGCCCAATATGGGCAGAAGACCGGGAAACGCCGGGTTGGATGAGCGACCTTTGGGTTTGAAAGTCATCGATACCAAAGACACAGGCATGCTGTTGCCTTTTTTGTTGCGAGGGCAGAGTGGTAGCGACGAAAATCTAAGCAGTGAAGAAAAAAGGCATCAAGATATGGCTGATAAAGACGTCGACATAGAAACGGGTAACATGGAGAAGGAAGATGAACAGGATAGCGATAGCGTGGACAGTCAGCTGGAGGAGGAAGTAAAAATGCTAGACCCAGAAGAAGTGCACGAGCGTAGTAAGAATAAAAATAGCAACAAGAATTGTAAAACTTATGAGGACGATCGGAGAAACCGCGAAGGTAGTCATAGAAACAAGTACGTCTTGCAGAACGAAGCTATCTTGAAGCATTTGCTTCAAGAAAGCGATAGAAGCGATATCAAGATAAAGAACGAAAATGAAAAAAAGGAAATATATAGGAAAACTGTGATGGACGACATGGATTCTAGTCATACCTCGTGTTATCCAGAATTAACGAGATTACTGCAAAACGACGGGCCTACTAACGCCAGAGAGATGGCGACGCAGACTTCGTTGCCGCTCGATATACTGGAAATGGAGGAGTTGAAGCAAAGTATCGACGAAATAATCAATAGCAGACATTGTAGTTCTAAAGGGACTCAAATATCGCCGCAATTGAAAAAAGGCAAGAATATTGTGTCATAAGACTGAGGTGATTATCTTTTTTTTTAAAGTGTATTAAGGAATGTGCATATATAATATAAAATAATATTAAATAATGTAAGTATCTAAGTAATCACTATTACATCTATACATACAATCGAACTATTTATATATACTATTAATTTCTCTTGCAATCGTTATAGTATTTTCTGAAGAGTGAGCTCATGTGATGATCTTTATCGGTTGTCTTTATCCGTTGTAAATTATATACATATATACATGTAAGAGAAGACGAAGAAAGTAAACGAAACAGTTGAATGAAGTATTATCGCTCGAGAAGATATAGGTACAATAAAGCATATCGATATTTTTCTACGTTTTATTATTACTAAAATAGTAATGAAATCTCAGTACGATCGATAATTTGCACATCGTGCAAATCTTTTAAAGTAATATAATTTAATTATACTAGAATTTTCCTAAAATATACACGTCGTAAACATTATTTAAAAATGAAAAACTATTGTAGTTCTAATATTGTATATGTATGTTCAAATGTTTATATAAGAATGTGTATATCGAACGTTCTATGACAGTAAGATATTCTTTGTCTACGTATATTTTTTTAATAAGTAGTTGAATAAACTGCATTTTATATTTAATTTTCATTGTATTAATCTACTGTCTATAAATTATGGCGCTAATCTGTAAACAGAGAAAATTTATTTCTCGATATACATAATTACATGATCTAAATTAAACGCTCGCAGGACACAAAACGTTGTCTTCACATTTTAATATAACAGTTAGATATTACTTGTCATTTATTTTGCAGTCACATTTTTTACAATTACGGAAAAGTAGTATTTGGTGTATTGTTTTTTACCAATGCGAAAATCTAGCATTTTATTGAATATTTATAACAAATGTTCCTATTGTAACTTACTAATTATTACTATTTCTTTATCGCATTTCGTAATTCTTCAATCAATATGTTTACGGGTATTGTATGTGTATGTGTGTGTATGTACATGTCGCATCTTTTTAAAATTTAATTTTACCATTCTCATGCTTTTTAATATTTTCTTAAATACGTCTCTATCTATAAAACGCTATTATTGCGCATATATATGTAATTCTAAAGTGTATTGCTTTCTTCCAATGTGTTAAAATCAATTGCTATCTTTCTCGAGAGGAACAAAATTTGGAGTAAAATTATCTTCATTTACATTTTTGTTATAGGATATCCAAAAAATCTTTGTGAACAATGTATACTTTTTAGCAACTATCGTAGTCAATAATGTATGTTCTAAATGATGTAAATATTACATCTTAGCACAAGGAAAACTAATATCAAGAAAGACTCGTCTTATGACTGAACTTATTTGATAAAATTTCTAACAAAATATCGATACTCAATATATCAATATTTAGGCCATATATCACTAAGCCGCTGAATTAAATCGATATATATATATATATATATATATATATATATATATATATATCATATATATATATATTACATCAATATCGGAAAGTTGAATCTTCGTTCCATAAATTAATACTAGATCTTTCGCCGAGGCACTTTTCTCACTTGTAGCAAGAAAATATTTTTCGACGATGTTATCTTCGGATTGTGACCGGTATATTATGACAGACAGACAGACTGACAGAAAGAGAGAGAGAGAGAGGGATATTTAAGATTCCTCTTGTGTCCATTTCTCGGGCGTTTCTATGTTTTCACATCCGGTTCCAAGTTCTCTGCTACGTATTTTTTTCCTACACTCGATCACAAATATATCCGGACTTTAGATCGGGCAAGTTTGTGCTGCGTTGTATGCGCTATATCGTATACAATTATATGCGTTTATTATACACACAGTATTCTCCGTGCACCACATTAACTTTATTTGGCAGAGAAACACAATAATATAATAGATCGCTCGCTCTACGAAAGTACAAAAATAAGTATCGTCGTAGGGACGGGGGGAATATTGATATGATAGAGGTGCGTGTATCATTTTGATTCGATTGGCTCGCGTAAAATAAAAAAAAAAGAACACTTCTACGAGAAATTAGTCTCCCTTGTCCGTGATCATACATACATAGAAATGCATTGCATCTTGCACATGCGTTCGCTCACTTACATATGTTATTTCCACCGCGTGCCGGGTTAACGCGCGATCCTTACCCGTTACACCCTAAATAAATACGCGCTATTCGCATGCACATACATACACAAGACGCTAAAATTCTAAACGACACGTTTAATATTGATAAATAATATAATAATGTGCATGCTATAACGGAGGTATAGAAAAAAAATTTTCATTCTGGTTTATTCACCACCACCGCAGAGACAGCAGGCAAGAACACGAATACGATTCATCACCCGGTTAGGAATCACCCGCTTGGGCGAGGCTACTTGGATTTGGCATGAGATTTTTTATGCTTAGTGTGTTCGTTACCCCAGATGATGTTGTTCAACGTTTCTCCGACGATGTATAGAATCATGCAAAACACTAGCAGCACCGCGAAAAACAGGATCTGCAGCGGCTGTGTTAACACGTCCATCACAGGATACACCCAGATGCCGCTTTTGTAATAAATTACGTGCATCCTGAAAAATAATGCAACACATCCAGATTACACGAGTATTTAATTGTTCAAAACTTTCAGTACTATCGTTCGATACATTTAACGAGAGATGCCTTGAAAGACCTTGTGTATATACGAAGTGTTCCCTATAAGTAACGCATATCTCTAAAAGACATTTAAAAATTGACTTAAATATGCCCTTTAGACATATTTAAAATATCTTTTGGTCTTTTTGTATTGTCTGGAAAAGTACAGACAACAAAATTTTATCAAAAAAAACTGCTCATTTTTTTAAACAAAGAATATAATATCAGTCTCTGTATCTTACCTATAGGGAACATTCTATACAGGATGTTTCTTAATAAGTGTGAAAAATTTTAGAAGATGATTCTTTGTCGAAAATTAAAGGGGGTTTTTCATATAAACATTAAAAAGTTTTAAAAAATTGAATAGGGGTTGCTAGTTTCATCCCCTTATAACAATACGGGAGGCTGAAAATATATATAAAATATTAATAAATAACCTTTTTACTAGTAGAAAATATCCACCTAATTTCATTTCTTTAATTTGTTCCAAATTTGAGAAAAAAATAAAAATCTAATTTTTACCCCTATTTTTGGAGGAATGGAGTGTAGTTCCACAAGGAGGGATGTAGGAGTATATATGTTTATATGAAAAATCCCCGAAAATCTTAATTTTCGACAAAGAATCTTCTCCTAAAATTTTTCGCACTTAGTAAGAAACATCCTATATACATTTCCTCCAATTTGTTCTCTCCAGATGATTACGTATAAAGTTATTAAAGTTAAAAGTTATTAAAATATTCCAATATACTTGTATACATGTATACTTGTATACATGTTATTATACGCATTATTATAGACCGGATATGCAAATTCGTTTCACTTACCAGACTAAGTATAGGAGCATGAAGCCCACGAGTATTCCGAGACCGCGAGATCGCTTAGGATATTGTCGTGGTGCGATGACCATTTCAAACACAGTTGTTACCATAATCATCGTGTGCATTAAATGATTCAACCACCATGGAAAGTACAGGTCCAATGCTTTCGGTAATACTAATTCACGGTCCACGAACATCAACGCCCAGAAGGTCACGCCAACGAACTGCGTGACGTAGAATTGGCATTAGATTTTATCGAATGTCTTTCATTTCGATAAATAATACACTCGATAGCAAATTATATTCATAAAAAATTAACCGGTATAGAGAGCAAATTATTCATATATGCGTTTATATGAATTCCTAGATGCAAGATAAATGCATAATTATATTTATATAGAAAAGGGATAGTCAAATTATTTCTCGCTCGAAAAATGTCACAAAATTTTGAATATTTTTTCCATACCTTCTAAAATAATTAAGTTAATACAATTTTTGGTAATTTATTTTTTAAATTAAAAAAATATAATATATTTATATGTTACTATGTATTTTTATTTAGATGCCAATTAATCATAAACATTTAAAATTTAACCATAGACATAAAAATATATGTCTATATATATATCTTTATATATATCCTCATATGCTTGTGCATTAAACACAAATTATATTTGCATTATCGCAGCACATACACATATGCATTTGTAAAATTTCAAAAATATTTATTTAAAAAAAAAAATATTTTTGACGGAAATTATATTAGATGATAAAAATGATATATTTAAATTACGATTATGTGATAGATTTATTAAGTAGATTTATTAATAAATTTATTCTCAAAGATAATATTTTTCTTTTCTTCTTCATTGTTAAATAAATTGATTGATCTCCAATCTTCTGATTTTTAACGTAAATTTAATATTATAAAAAATTTGACATTTATGAAAAAAAAAAGAGATTAATTATTACTTACCATGGCGACGGGAAATCCGAGACTCGCATGGAAGTAATCTTTCAACTTTCGTGCGAAAGGCGGTTTCTTGGGGTTTATGGCATTCGTACCGTAGAAGTCGTTCAAGAGACATATTAAGAAGAATACAGCTTGAAGAATCTAGAACACAATTGACATTTCAAATTGCTCCAATTAATGAGTCAATAAATAGTTTAACGATTCCTACACAATATGACTAGAGTCATATAAATGATATAAAAATATCATTTAAAATTAATTATGTTGTCTAATTAATATTATTGGAGAGATCCCATATATAAGCGACAATATTTTTATCGTTAAAATCGATCGAAATTTATTAATAAACCGCTGAAAATTGAGCGAGTAATTGATCAAACACGAAAGTCAAACAGACATCTGTGAAAGAACTGAATAATTTTCTTTTTTACATTTTACATTTTACAAAAGATAAATAGACATCTATGGAAGAATTGAATGGTTTTTTTTTTTACTTCTTTATATTTAAAATAAGCAGACATAAATGAATGACACACATAAATGAATGACAAAGATTTCAATCACATGTAAATTGCTACTGCAAACATGTTCATCCTGTTGTTAGTATATTATTTGTATAATTGAGCACACATATATTTTAGTGTCACTGGATGTATCATTTGGATAAAAACATTTCATGAACACATATATGTATAAATCTGTAATTGTAATCATATTATTAACATACATGTTTATTATATTGTTAATATGTATACACATTGTTAATATACGTATTATACATGACTGAATTCTTTTCCATCCATCTCTTTTCTTCGCTCTGGATATTTTCTTAATTTTTAATATCTGTATATAATAAATAATTTAATTAATTTTCCTTTATATTAATTATATTGCATATTACATGTAATGGGAAGATATAAAATATGAGCTTCATTTTATTTCGTGTATTATATTATGACGAATGCAATTGTTTTTTAGCGTTTAGATATCTAGTATTGACGTCTCGAATCAAATATTGATCCGAAGATTCTCATTTTATGCTGTCTATTCTATTGCAAATCCATCACGTGTCAGTCATAAATACATGATATGCGTCGCATGCAGTTCCATCAAGTGAGGCTTTAACTCGTTAGCAGCACAAGAGGAAGTGACCTCATTATTTGCACTATCCTTGATATCAATTAAACTACTTGTACTAATTGCATCTAATAAAATTGAGATCCTGTGAAAGTAAAGAGCAAAAATTTTTCAAAGAAAAGTTTTTTTATTCATTACAATATTTTATTTCAATGCTTTTATAGCATTCTTTATTACAATAATTGCGAAAGCAAATTAAACTCATTAATCTAAAAATCTTAGATGCGACGATACGGAAATTGCTCTTCCTCATTTTGCTAAGTGAGAAGATTAATTCGAATTAAAGCGAGCTTTCGAGCGTAATTATCGATCGATTGACGTTGCACATAAGCAGTCTTGTGTGACGCGTGCCTCCTGTTGACTGCAAAATATCAAGTGGTGCTTAAACAATTGAATTTTGCTCTTTATGAGCGGCATGATAGTGGTAATTTAAGCGTGAAATGGTCGAGAGCATATCATCTCGCGCGACGATAAGTGACAAAATGCTTGAACACAATCTCGTCGAAAGTAAAATCACGCTTTTAACTCAATAGAACAAATTGAGATAAAATAGGAACTGCTCATTTACTTTTCCAGCAATATATTTTTGAAATATTCGAAATATATTATACGTATTTATTAAAAAATAAATAATTCCAATATATCTGTATACTGAATATACGTTGCATTCATTCATCCAAACGTGACAATATCTCTAAAAATTTCGACTATTCGATTTTTTTTAATTTCAACGATAATTATTTTTAATATTTTTTTCTTCCTTCTGGACTGCATGGAAACTTTTTCTCGCACAAGATGCAATAAATGAGGTTTGCATGCTTTTTTCTAGGAATAACAGAATACAATTTTTTATTAAAAAAATTTTTTATAAAAAAATAGTAGGGCCGTATTTTGAAAGAGAAACTCTTCTGCAATTGCCGATTTCACCGATAATCATAGATGAAATATCCCGTTTTCTTCGTTGTCCGACTTGAAGAATATTATATCACCGTTATTTGTGATTTTTATGCTCGCAGGTATACTAGATGGACGTGTCGGTTTTCACTATTGCATAACATGGCAATAACGATAGATTGCACGTGGTTACTAGATGTACGATCGCAGAGAATCGGTTCTTGCTAGGAATAGTAGAGTTTCTCATCAACATATAATATTACCTTATGAGATGCAGAACATAATTATTGTGAGGAAATATGTCGAACGAGCAAGAAGTTTGTACTTTTTAATAAAATAAAAACGTTCTAACAAAATAAAATCAAGTTATCTAATGATCAATTTGTCGCTGGAAACTATATATATATATATTTTCTAGAATTGTAATATATCTTACTTATATTATATTTTAAATATATTATAAATATATAAGATAAATATAAATATTATAAATATATAAGATAAATATATTATATTTTAAATATATTATAATTATATAAGATAAATATAAACATACGATCCTGAGCAAAATAAAATTTAAAGACCAAGCTGCAACGATGAGAAAATAAAATCTCGTTGCAATAAAATCTCGTTATGACAAACTTGATCAAATTTTAAATTAAATTCGGATTATTGTCGAGATCTCGTTTCATGCATCGATACATACATCATAGATTGAATCCTATCAACAATCCTAATAACAATTTCATGAAAATTCCATTATAGAGAGCATTTCTTTCTCTCGGCAATCATCACAACGAAATTTCATTGCCTGTAGCAGCAAAGAGCATCAATGCAAGGAATAAATGCAAAAACATATTTGTATCCGTGTGTACGTTGAGTATGTGTATTCTGTGTGTAACGTGCAGGTGTATCGATACCAAAGGGTAATTTCATCAATCAAAGTTGCGCACTCTCAAGTTCGTAACTGCAAAGATCGATATATACTAACCGCATCCCAGAATGTTAGAAACTTGAACTTCCCACCGAAGGCGCGATGCACCCTCGTGACATTGTATGGCACGATCGTATACGTGTAATCGTAAAAAACCGCGAAAGCGAACTGCAGGAAAGTAACCGCATGGAATCCAATTGCTAGACCCTCTCGCATCTCACGGCTGTTCGCGAGTAGTCTGAAACGTGTAATTATCTCTTTGGATTCGATGATACTCGACGATGTCATCAATCGTCAAGGAAGAGTAGGAAGCAGATACAAGTGTCCGTGCGTACATTTCTTTCGTGAAATCATCTCACTTCTCCTAATGTTAGAATCATTCGGATTGAAACTTTCAATGATAATAAGCCAGAAGAGATCTCTCATGTCTAGCAATAAAAAGAGATCGATAATATATATTCGATAAAAATTAAAATATTATTAAAATAAATTTATGTATAACTATATATAATATAATAGATATATTTACGAACTTATTAATTTATCACACATTAATATTTTTTACGCTTCTTTTGTCAAGAAAAACATCTATTAAAACTACGAACATATACTTTTGAAACATTTTTTCAGCATCTAATTTAATATCATTTTATTCTATAACGAGTTATATTTAATATTTAATATTATATAATTAATATTATATATTTAATTATATATTTAGTATATATTTAATATTATATAATTTATTATAAAATTAAAATACTCGATAATTGCATTATCTTATTTAATTTCAGCACATTTTTTTTGTATAAATTTGGCAAGAAACTTTATGGCATATGTTATATATTTTTACTTTTGCTTATAAATATATAAATTACTATGAATTGAATATATTTCAATCTATGAATGTCTATCTATTTAAAGAAAATCGAATTAGTAAATCTGTAGACAAATGTTGTATAATTAAGACAAGAAAAAAGAACTTGATCATTTTTATGTCTAATATAAACACTAAATATATTTATAACATATGCAAAAAATTAAAGATAATCATCTCGTTTTTATTTATTGTTTTATGAATAAAAATACAAATTTAGCTATTTTAAATGATCACATTAAACTTTAAATGATCACATTTGCAATAATACGTTGAATAAACAGTTATCAAGATTATACTTGCAAATTCTTACTCTCTCAACCGCATTTATCATTACTATAATGTCAGCTAATGTTGCAGCAATTATTTAACGTATATTTAACCAAGTTGTTATTTTATTTTAATACATCTTTTTTTTAGAAAATTAATATACGACAAAAGAAATTACTGTAATAATGGATGTAATGAATAATGCAATTGAGAGAACAAGAATTTAGGCAATTATTTATTAAACATAGTATCTTTTTTCGAATCTGATTATGTAAAAATTGAAAATTGAAATAAATAATAAAATAATTTTTACAAGCGCATAATGAGCTACTCATAAGTATATATTTGTTATATATTTATTATAATTTTGTTTCTTATTCTCTAAAAATTTATTCCCTGAAATATTAATGCACGCGAGAAATAAAAAAAATTAATAAAGAAAGGTAGTTGATTTACATTATTTTATTTCTCATTTGTTACTAACGATCGTTTCTTCCTTGCACTCTAATTTTAGTTTCGAAACTCTTATATACTTTTTGCAAGTGATTTATCGAAGTCGTATCGAAGTCGATGGACGCGATTTGTTATTTAATTCATTTATCGTAGAATTTTTTTACAATGTCGAAAACAAATCTTAATCTTCTTAAAGTAATGCATTTAAAGGAAATTAAAAGAATTATAAAAAAATCGTTCTGAGATGGAAAGTTACAGTTGTTTTAATAATTTCCACGTGCGTATATTATGTAAGCGAGTGTATATAGTTACATAATATATACGTAACTAAATAGCCGGCTCTAAAAAAACTTGACATGCAAACAGGTCTTAATCTGTTTTCCACTGTGAATCACAACAAAATCCTCTTTTATCCATTCATTACTATCTCCTATTAATGTTATGTATACAATTTATTTCATATATATAACTAAACAATTCACCGCGACCTTTCTTTCACGCTTATAAACATGAATAAATCATTAAAAAAAGATTGCGGAGAGAATATTGTAACCATCCGTGATTTAATGACTTAAA